ACTTCTTAAACTTCTCCGATTTTATTTATCCATCCATCAAGTTAGAGGGGTGACTGCATTCAATTTCAATTTCATTCCAATTCATTTTTCACCGGTAAATTAAACCGCTCTTATCTATGGGATTTTAGGGTAATTTATTTCTGAAGTCTCCGGGATTCATGAGATAATTTGCGTTGGGGATTAGTTGGGGAACACTCCGAACTGTTCGAAAGTCCGTTTTCTGTGTACGGTTTCAAGCGAGCGTGTTCGAATAGCCAGAAATACATGTAGAACGTATCCTGTGGTGGAGCAGGAGCAGGATGTGGTTTGTTTAGCGCCAATCATGCTAACTTTGGATGCGCCGCGCATTGAGGTCCGCGCAGAGGTGATGGGATGGTGCAATTTGAGCGTAATGTCTGTCCACGCGAGCAAATGTGTCTATAGGATTCAGGGAGGTCCATGGCGAACCTGTGCACTTGTTTACAGTGTTTTCCGTTGCGTATGATGGAGCGTGTCCTGTCGACGCCGCCAGATTCGTGCTCCGCCAATTGCTGATTCCGATGAAGGAGACCAACTGCTGGAAAACGTCTGATACGAACGATATGGTAGTCCTGTCGTTTGTCGAAAAAAACAGGTTGGCTCAGCGCCAAGCGCGATCGCGGACACGCCCCATCATCCGCAGCGAACCAGAGTATGAGTCACTTACGAGATGATGTCGACTTTTTATATTTCCAGTTATTTCAGATTAGTTTGATGAATGAAAGTTTTGTACTATTTTTTTTACATATCCGAGTTCTCTACAAAGCAAGCTTCGCTGTACAGTACTCAGCACACTGACGCTCGTTACTGGCTACCGCACTCATTACGACCCCCCCCTCTCCTGGCGGCCAAATACGACCCCCCTGTTGGGGATTCCCCAACCAACGATGTGCCCTGGTGGGGAGAGGGGGGGGGGATATACATTACACATGAAACAGGAAAAATCACGAAAAGTCAACAAACAGGGAAAAAAACACTTCCGTAACAGTCCCTCTCATCCACTTCGTAAACGCATAAGACTTGTAGTTACCTTCAGCAGCTGCAGAGCACCCTGAGGAGGTGATTCACATGAAAGTGTACCATCACGAGATCGAGAATTAGTAGTAACGGGCGCCCGTTTGGGGAGCTCATCTGAAAGAAGCCGTTTCACAACAAGTTTTCCCGCAGATAAGAGATATGAACAAAAAAAGACCTCACATTCGATAGGTGGAGGAGTTGGTGGCAGATTTTGATCGTCTACTTCATCTTCGTCACTCTCCACTACAACCTTTCTTTTACGGGTCGACCCTAAAATAATGAAGTTCTAAAGAGTATAAAATCTTCTCACTGAATTCATGCTTGCAAATAAGAGGGCTTCAAAGAATTCAACGAGACGAAGCTCAACGCACCGGGAGGCGGAGTAGGAGGTGGATCACTAAAATCATCGCAGTCGTCATCTTTGGCAAGTGGGTATGCAGGTGAAGCTGAAACAAAACTAAACGTATGGCAAATGGAAGCGGAACTATCTCTTTGCCCCCCCCCCCTCACTCCATGCAATATTTCTCGTTCGGTCGACAAGCAACTCAGTAATTTTTTTTTCTCAATAATTTTGGTTTTATATGAGAACGAGAGGCGGAGGTGGTGTAGTGACAAGTGGCGCGCTCACCACTCGCGCGGTCCCGGGTTCGAATCCCGGGTCGACTCCCGCCCAGGCCAACCAAGCCTTCTACCCCCCGGACGGTAAATTGGTACCAGATTCGTCTGGGAGGATAAAACACTGACTTGTACATCGGCTGGCCACCGCAAGTCATTGTATAGGCCACATTACGATTCTGAATGGAAGTAGAATGCGTGCCGCATCCCACAAAGGGATTGATTAACGGCGAAGACTTTATCCTTTTATCCTTTTATGTGAACGTGCTTCCAGTTCTTACTCTTAACCTTTCTGTAGCTGGTCAATGGTAGCACTTTTTGCTGTTATTTGAAAAAGAGCTTCAAGCGAATTCCGCGTTGGTCGTGTGGGCAGAGCCGCGTGGCTTGGCAAGCGTGGTAACCAGGTTCGATTAATGATATAGCCAAACGTTTTGACCATGACGGGCCTTCTTGTGCTAATCTGAACCAATGCAGAAGACATAACCCATTTTCAAAAACTGCGATGAAGTGAGATCCTGCAGTAAGGAGCTGTTGCATAGCCAGGGTGCTTTAAAACTCCGAGTTAATGGTTCACGGAAAGCAGATCAATTACCCCTGCTCAAAATCAGTACAAGACTCGAAAACACACGTAATAATGAAAATTACGAAATCGGCTTCACCTCCTGCACAAAACGGCGGGTAGAAGCAGCAAAAAGGGTGAAAATTTGGTTCCTAAGGATAGGTTTGCCGATGGATTGATAAGATGGACGCTGATAGGGTCCAGTCTCCGTAGATTGGGGTGATTGGATGTTAGTACCGCACACCTTCGCCACTTAAAGACACATTCCGCGTTACTTACGTGGGCGAAGCCACACTGGCCTTGGCTCTAACTTCGTTGGGGCGCTCCTCTTCTTAGCCATCTTGAGCGCGATCGCACGCTCGATTTAATCGCGTGATCCGATCGCGCTATCGTGGAGCGCTCCACCTCAAGCATTGCATCGCCGTATGTATTGGTACTGCGTGAATACTGAAGTTGCACCGTTTAGCGACGGAGAGCCCCCATCAGGATCGTTTGACTGGATCCAAGATCGCGCGGTCCAGTAGCGCGATCGCGAAGTATGAACGCGCTGAGGCTACTTCGAAATTGACACATATGCCAAAGAACTAGAGCGTGTCTGACTTTCCAGAAACTACTACAATTTGCCCTTATAACCATGAGACCACAGAAAGCTATGAACAGTGAGCTGCCTTCATTTTGAAACTTGAATTTTCATAATTTACACACCTTTGTTCACCTTCAGCTGGTGGAGGCGTTGGCGGTAGGGAGTCATTCGAGCTGTTGAGAGTGTCGATTACACTTGGATTCGTAATAACAATGTCGTCGTCGAATGAATCATACCCGTTCTCAGACATTTCTGAAAAGCCTTAGGAGGATTGCAGAGTTTCTTTTCATACAACTCAAAAAAGTTTTAAGACAAATAATTTAACAAGGGATCACTCGAAAAAGGGAACGCTGGGGAAGAGCAATCAGTCTGAGACAACAGACTGTATTGTGGGCTAGGACAATTGATTAGAAACGGGGAAATTTTGGGTATATAGAATCCCTCTTAATTAACATTGTACCGATCGGATTTACTATGAATGCGGATTCAAAATGTCGGTAAAGGTGCAGTAGCGGAAATGTGGAGAGATTAATTTCCCTTTTCTAATTCTTATTTCATATAACAAATACTCCCGACCCTGATGACCAAATGACCTTGCAGAATAAAAGCACGTGTGGTGAAGGAAAGAGCAAGGAACCCTCTAAGTCAACCCTTGGTTGATTTAGAGCTTTGCATGGGCATGCGATGAAGCGAGAGACTAAGTTACACAGTTAGCGCGAGCGAGGGACCAGAGTCGAAAGGTCAGGGAAAGCAAAGACGGGAGAGACAGACAAGCACATTTATGAGTGGGCTTATGGATAGGGAGGAGAAGAGAGGTGCTACGGGAAATGATAGCCTTCCGTTTCCTTCACAGTGTGTGCTTAGCGTCGGCGTTTGGGCGTGAAGGAAGGTATAGTTATCGAGCTAGCGTCTTAGGAGAAAAGCGAGGGTTTTGAGCCTAAGGGATAGCGAATGTAGCGGTCGGAGCTCAAAGCGCTAAACCGATGCCTCAACTTTAACTTTCGTCCACACCACTGGCGTTTAGATCTGAACATCAGAACGATATCTATGTACTCCCTTTTGCCCGAAACATCGACGCAAAGTCTGAACGCAGCATTACTATGTTCAAGCCGTGGAGGTTGCAGTAGCTACGCGAGTGCGGACCGAGCTATCTCTCAAAAGAGGCTACGCACTTCCGATGACTGTCGGCCAGCAACTCCAGATAAAGTTAGTAGGTTCAGGCCTAGGTCAACTCTAGGATCTCACTAAGTCTTTAGGAGTGAATAAACGTACACTTCATCATTTTTCCAAAGATCCATTGAAGAAAAGTAGAATTTCTCTAGTAACGCAACAAGAACGACTTCTACTAATAAGCACACATAATACGATTGGATATTTATTATAATTTGAGCAAGTGAAGCAATCGTGGTAGTAGACGACCATCTAACGGTCTAATTGCAATTACACAAGTAACTATTCATAACGAATCAACAATTAATAGCTAGTTTCGTAAAAGTTTGTAACAACATGGCAGACAATCAAGGAGGCGATAAACATACAGCATATCGAGTAAACGAAATGAACCTAAGACACTGTGTACACTTTCGGTTTAACGAGGTATCTGAATGACCTCTTGGCTAGAGATCCGCGAGAGGAATTTTGTGTCTGAAAATAAACCGATCATTGGCAAAAATTAACCTTTTTTTGCAAGGAATTTTTCCATCACATAATGGGAGTCACATATGGAACACCATCAAGTCAAAAAAGGAAAAATAGCGGTAGTCTGCTCACCGCAATCGTTTTGTATAACTCAATCCCACAACTGATTGTACTTTATCACGATAGCGCATAGCCACCTCGATCACATTCAAGGGCTCGATATCAACGACAGGTTCCACAGATGTATCCGTGCTGAAAATAGCCTAATGGGTATAAAAATCTGTGTAGTCAACAGCGAGGTTCTTACGGCCTCGTCTGAATTTTTTTGCTTGTCCGGCATAGTGCGTTGAAAACAAGGCATACAATACGTTGAGGAAACTCAGCGAATGAAGTCGTTACAGTCTTATTCGCTGCGGATGAGGGGGCGTGTCAGACGGAATAAGTTTTGCGCAGCGTCAAGTTCGTTCTACATAAATTGTTGAAAAGAGCAAGCAACAAGACTGTACCATCGTTCCTATCAGTCGTTTGACACCAAGTGCTGCCGTCTGCCCGCTTCAACGACTGTTGGACAACGGACTTGGTGCAAAATTTATCCTCTCTGACTACCCTGCATTTGCAGCGCACAAGACTATACATACATATGCGTTGCTGAGGAGGAAGGATCGTGCTGAGAAGGTTCCCATCGATGAGAGAAGAAGAACTTTCAGTATATTTAGAGTTTTGACCAACAACTACTGTTTCTGGCGCAATTAACTATATCCTGGAAATCGATGGAATTTTTGTGGACTTAGAGGTAAGCGGAGTCGAAATTTTCAGGAATTTTAGTCTATAGGGGTGCTGAGAGAGCAGACTTGCTTATCGCCATGGCGTGCTCTGATTGAAACAACGCAAAACCAAAACAATTTTGACTGAACTCATGAACTCATTTGTGTATTCGCAACTATCCAGGAAAACGTCAATCTAGAGAACGTATGCCGAGATCAATGCACAGCCGTAAAATGTAAAATCATGAAACAATAGACAAAACAAAATGCTCGGGGGTGGGGAGCATTGCACTTTCACTACTTCCCCTCGTCATTTTAAGCCATCAAATAGAGACCCGTGGAATCTTGTGAAGCCACGAAGTGATATCAAACTTTGTGAAGACTACTTGCCATCTCTTGTGAAGATACCTGTCAACTCTTGTGAAGAAATGAACATGATAATGAGAAGTAGCGAAAGTGCAAAACGCCCTCCCCCCAACCCAAACTACGCCCTAAATCTTTCTTTTGCTAGAATGAACAGAACAAAACACCCTATTGACAAACCTTGGGCTACAACGATCTCTCAAGAAAAAGTTTTCCTTGGAGAACTCTTCAAGCGGAGCTTCAGCAGCTTTACGTCCAAAGAAGAACACCCTGGAATGGCAGATCGTACCGAACATGGAAAATCAATCAAGCAATTACTGATCAGGAACGGTGGAACAGATTCGTTCACTAACCTATCGGCCGTAATTCCCCAAAGCCGGAGGAGTCCTTCACGAGCTGCCATCTCTGAAGCAACGCTCAGCGTCTCTCCAGCACCTCAAAACCCAAAATTAACTAAAGCAGGCAATGTCGAAATCAAAAAGGGTGAAAAAAAACATACTTTGCCCAACAAGCTCTGACTTGTCTTTGTAAATACCAACGACGTATACTGGTTCAGCGCTGACAGGGCCAGAAGAACGAAGAATCCTTGGTTCTACCTGATTTGATATAAATCACAGAACTACCTGGAACCTTTCTCCCGAATGAAGAATGCGTTCAATCGTTGCGTTTTTTATTTTTTAGCGTACAGCAGCGTTTCGAGCGCATGCCAGCGTCCGCTTTCCTAGTCGCTCAAAATGCTGACGCAAAGTATGAACGAACTTTTGCGAGGGCTAAGTTTCCAATATTAGAAATCGTAGTCTTAAGGGAACCCACCTCCGAAGCTCCCTCCTGTTTGAGTAAATCAGTCAATACACCAAGGGGATCCCGTAAATTGTAGACATCAGCGAAATCGATATCAATAATCTGAGGTATAACCATATCGATAATGAGGTTTCTAGATCGTTCCTTTCCTATAGCAGCCAGCAGGGCTCGAAAAGCATCAGCGATGGAAG